CGTCACCAGAGATTGAGGTCTAGAGATAGAGACAAAACAGGGGGCAAACCTCAGCACCCCGGGGCCAGAGGGCTGGCTTTTATGCTGCAGGTGAGGTTAACCCAGGTGAAAGACTCTGGGGGGCATAAAAATCCCACCAGTGTCTCTGGAGTCATCCCTGGAGTCCAGGACTTGCAGCCACACTCATCCCCGTCATCCCAGCTAGGCCCTCAGAGGACAAGTTTGGATTAAAAGTCTTTTTTTTTCCTTTTTGTGGCAGAGATTAAGCATTTCTGCAGCCTCATCCCAGGACATCAGCATCCACCAAGTCCTGTGCCAAGGAGCTGTGGGCTCAGAGCAGCGTGCTGGGTCTGCTGCTGCTGAGACGTGCGTCTGTGGCTCTTTGGTGGATTAGGAAAAAAATACCACTATCTTTAGGTTTAAAGTGTTGGTCGTAAGACAATCTGCTATGGCAGGGTTCAACCACAGTCCCAACACCTTCTGCAAAACAGTCATTTTCCCCTCCTTCCCACAGGCAAACATAGGCACCAGATTTGGGAAGCGGCAGATAGGACATTTGTCCAGGGCCACACAGACTGTAACTACACAGTCTCCAGGGCGTGGAAAGGATATGGGATAGTATTTGCCCTCCTCCTGAATTGCAATCACCACATGGCCGGCCTGTGCTAGCACCAGGGAAGGGGGACATGTCCTGTCTAGCTTGTTCATGTTAGCCATGTCCAACCCCTATTCAACCCATATGCAACCCAGGTATCCTAACACCACCACGTCTGCAGAAACACCTATAGAGCATGAGTCTCACTGTGGACATAAAACATCTAAATATTGGACATTTCCAGGACCAATTTAGAGAGTGGGTCAGGTTGTGTAAGGGCAGTGTGATTTCAGGGCATCTCCAATCCCAGCTCCCTGCAGCAAGGGACTTTGGGAGCACCACTGGAAAGCCCTTGGGTCATCTCCCCACTTCAGCACAGATCATACAATGTCACTGCAATGTTCACGGGAGCAGGAGGACAGCCAGCCAGGTGCTGCATGCTCAGCCCACCTTCCCGGCAGAGATGAGTGTCTGTCTGCTCTTACTTGCTCAAGATGCAGATAGGGCATGGCCAGCACCCACCTGAGCTCAACCTTGGCACCAACCCTCACCCTGGCACACCGGCTCCCTGTGCCATGGGACATGCTGAGGCCCATGACTGAACCCACCAGAGATATACCCCTCTTCTTCTACTCCTCCTGTGAAGCCCATCCTTCTGCCCAAGAGCCCATTGGACCCCTGCTCTTCCCACAGCTCAGCCCACTCTCATCCAGAAGAGACTCACACCAACTGCAGCAGCTTTGGCTCAGGGTTAAGAAGAACAAGGCAGCAAGCTGCAAGCTGTCAGCATCATGAGTAAGACTGATGCTAGCAGGACCTCACGCACCTGCTGGAAGCTGGACTGGTGTCTTTCACAGGGCTAGGAGGCTCTTCATCCATCGATGTGGAGGACAGCAGGCTCCGGTGCCTTCTCCGGCGCTCTCTTTGCTGCTCTTCTTCATCCTCAAGGGTCCTCTGCCTGGCCAGGCTGTTTGGGATGAAACATAACAGCATGGTGAGGCTGTGCCCTGCACGGGGAGCTTGCAGCCCTGATGCCAGACAAGAAAGGAGACCAAAACGCCCTCGGGCAAGGGATGAGGGGCTGACGGAGGTTGCCTTCCCCAGCTGCTGCGTGGGGCTGGAGGAGAGGGACTCCAACGCAAGCCAGGTGTCACAAAGTGCTCTCGCTCCACCCAGCAGATGCAGGCATTTCCCAACACAAGCACTTGACTTTACAACTCCTAATTTCTTCTGTTGGAGGGAGCACTCATTTAAAAGGAATCCCTACATTACGCAAACCTTCCCGGGCAAGGATATTTAACCTGTAACTCAGCAAGACCAGGACCCTAGAGTCACCACATAGATCTCAACCACATAAACTGTCCACTAGTGACAGAAGATTTTAGCCCCAGTGCAAGTTGTGGCAACGGCATTTTAATTTTTATTGAGCAAAAAGCCTCAGATGCAAAAGCATCAGAGGCTGAAGGTACTGCTGACAAGCTCTGCCTGGAAACGGGGGTGGCAGGAGCTCCTCTTACTCCCTGCATGTGGCTGGGCCTGGGAATTGTTTGTAATCACAGATTGTACCAAAAATACAAGGTTCGTAATCATCTTTAAAGAGTCATCTTCAAAGATTTTATATTGCACAAGCCAAGGAAATATTTGTTTTGGATAAAATGCCAACCTGAATAAAAAGTCGTTTGGACAACACCAGCTTTCCCTTCTCTGTGCAAAACCTGCCCACCCTCTCTGCCGGTGCATGAACTGCGTTGGAAAATATTTTTACTGGCTGGATTGAGCTTTTCACAACAATGTTCATCTGCCTACAGCACTAGTCATCAATCAGCTGCAAACACATGCAGGGGTCCCAGCAGAGCTCCCCGCACGTCCAACAGCCCGACCGGACAGAGCTCTCCCTGCACAGGATCCATCCCATCGCAGTGTCCCAGCGCTGGACCTGGCACCCCAGTTTCATCCAGACTCAGGGTTTACTTTGAATTTGACTTTTAAGAACGTGAAAGTCAGAGCAGGTCCAGGCCTGCGGTATTGCTAATGTCGTTGCGGACACGGTGACTCGCAGCGCGGTTTACGAGTTACTGTGTAATGAAAGCTGGGTCATAAATTAAACCACATTACCCCCCGCAAATATTCGCGGCTTCTGTTCTTCCTGGTCAAGGGAGGCGAGGGAGTGCGAAAGGGTCAGCAGAGCAGAACGGAGAGCAAAGAGGGGACAGGTCCTGGCTGAGAGCTCAGCACTTGTTTGCGGACAAGGCAATGTGTGCTGCCCTTTCCTCCCGCTGCATCCATCCCCATCGCCCCCTGCTCCCCCCAGCAGCCTTCACACCTCAACAGCAATCGGACCCACTGCTGGGGGGCTCCAGGGTGGTCCCTGATGCCATGCTTGGCATTGGCAGAGGCAGGGATGGAGAAGGCTGGGACCTGCCCCAGGGAGCCATGAGCAGCCCTGGCCAGCTCTCACCCCGCCAGGGGACACCTCCCCGTTCAGCTCCTTGCGGCTGTACTCCCCTCCGTGGGCCTGACCCTGTAAATATTTGCACACAGCTTAGCTGCACTGGGAAGGCAGCACGGCTTTATTTGCACAGCACGGTGTGATCTCCTGGCAAGACGTGCTGCAGCAATCACTGCACACACACACATTCCCACCCTGCAAGGTTAGCACGTGTATGGGGACGTACGCGCGCAGGTGCTTCTGCTAAGCACTCTTGTCCCTCAAGCAGTGACAGTGTGGAGTGCTAAAGCCAGTTTAAAGCCACGTGAGACCCAGTTACTTCTTTGTTTTTGCATGCACAGACTCCTTCGAAATGAAAATGAGATTTTCCTGCCTTGAATTTGCTTGGCTCCTGCAGAGGCAGTGTGTAACCTGGCATTATCAACATGCAGTTTCTCATTATTTGTAATTAAGTAATTCACCCATTAGGCTATGGATTTGCTTTGCCAGTCTTCCCCTCCTCTTTTCAAAGAGGGATTTATTTTTCACCATCTTACCTTTTTTAACCTCAAAGAGATGAATAAAAAAAGTTTGGCGAGTCTCCCCCTGCCTTGTCCTCTCCTGCCCTGTTAATCATTAGTGCTGAGATATCTGACATTTATGCTGTTTCAGTGAATGCTGTCTCATCTAATGAGAGAGGAGAAACTGCCTTCCTGGGTTGTGAAACAACCTGGCTGCAGGACCCCGCTGGGCTTGCGTTCAGGCAGGTCCATGGCGCAGAGGAGGTGGATCTGGATGGGGCCGGGATGCCCTCTGGATCCGTCCCCGCCATGATGGAGGCAGGGTGTGAGCTGGCAGCCTCTGAGCAACAGGGTCTCTCTTCATTCCCATTTCTGGGCTGGCCATGGTGAGTGTCTTACCCAAAGTACTGGGGTTTGCAATTGTCTCGGAGCCATCACATCCACTCAAACTAGGATTTCTTCTCCTTTTTGTGGGAGAGTGCGGCTGTGTTTGAGTCATCTTCACCCCGTCTGCGTAGCCGAGGTTGGCAGTGCTTGCCCCAGGGTCTGTGGGAGGTCAGGAGCGATCCCCACATCACCCAGGCTTCGTGTGAGCCCCTGACTCACCCCATGATGCCCAGGAGCCTCACCTGCCCCGGCTCCCATCAGACACAAAATCACTTTTTAGGAAAGACAGAGCAGTGCAGCCAATGCCGTGGGGCTGTGGGGATCATTCAGCAACTGCCGATGAATCAGGGCTTGCTCAGCACCGGATGGGCAGAGGCTGCAACCTCCGCATGGTGGAGCCGGGACATGCACCCAGGGGCTGTACAGATACGGCGCAAGTGAAAAAAACCCACAGCCGGCTCTGGAGCAAGTCTGGAGGCACAGCCCCACCAGCCAGACCCTACCCCAAAGAAAGGCAAACCAGACCAAAAATATATTCAACATGGGGCAAGGATGCATTTCCAGAGCCATTTTCCTACGCAGTGCTCAGCTTCCCCAGGCAGCAGAAACAAATCTGCCTCTGATCTTGCCCACCCATGAGAAACTCCAGCAGTGCCAAGCACTCGCCGGGGCTGGCACTACCTCTGCAAGCAACACCCCTCGCGCCAGCTGTCCCCTCTGCCCATCCTCCCCAACACCCCTCGGCTGAGGCTCGCCATGCCAGCAGCCCACCCTCACCCCCTCCCTCCCGCCGGTGGAAAGGGTTAAGCATTAAACCACAGCAGCTACCTGGAGAGATCAGAC